TGCCAAAACGTCGTCCCAGATCGTCATCGTCATGATCTTCATTATCATTATGCGAGTGGATCAAAACCGCGACGCCGCCAACAACATTTCAGTCTCTTCGCCAGCTTTTTTGTATGATCTCACAAAGGGTATTTTAAATTTGACCAGAAGTTCAAAATTGCTGGAGAAGCAAAAAATAGTGAAAGTATTTATTCTTGTGTCAGTTTTGTTTTTGTTAATAATAATACATATTTTTTTTGGCACATTCAATTCAAGGTATTTCAGTTATATTCAAAATATATTTAAAGGCATTAATTGAAGTATTACTTTCACTTTTTCGTTTGGTAATTTATGGCTCTCCCATATAATACAATGAATCTTAAAAGTGTAATATCTGGATATATTTATATATTTATGTATATCTTAGTTATTTAAAAGCTAATAAGTCCAAATAAAAATAAAATAATTTATCAAATTACGATAATGTTTTTTATTTCTCTGAGGGTCTCCGTTTTCTTAAGAATCTTGTGCTAATAATATTTAAATTAAAATTATTTCCCAAGGGTATTTGCAATTTCGATCCCATACGTTGGTATTTACTTTTGATTTCCTTTACTTTTTTTTATTGCTCTTCTGTTTGAGTTTTTGTTTTTGCATGTGCTCGGCTCGGTTTTGTTCTTTTTGTTTTTGTTTCGGTAATATTGTTCTTGTTGTTGGTTTTCACTTAATCACTTGTTGAGAGCGAGACGGCAAGTGTTGGGTTTTTAAGTTGAAAATTGAATTTCTAAGAATTACAAAACAGCAACAAAGTGCCGTTGGCATCTCCCTGACCCCCCTCCCCCCACCAACCAAACCGAACAACCCCAATCCAAATCGGAATCCCCCCTCGAATTCGCCCCATACGATACGATACCATCGCACCACCATCTTATTCCGATCTGGTTGCCTTAAATCCCATATCCTCCAGATATCCCCCCCTTATCCCACCCCCCACACTTTCCATATCCCGTATCAGCGCGGCGGGCTTCGTTTCATTGCATTGCATTAATTTTGCCAATTAAAAAGTAAATAGAGCCTGCATCCTTTCGCTGGTTATCTACCCATCTTCCTGTCTCCCTCTGAAAAGAGAAGGGCATACCTTCTGGGGGCGGAAAGAGAAGGAGCATCTTTTTCGGTTGTGGGCGCGCAAAAGTTTTCAATACAATTTAATCCAATCTGCAAACACATATGGATGCAATATATATATATATATATATACATATATTTTGGTTGATGAATGCCATAGGCAGTGCCACGCCCCCTGACAGTCCCCCGCCTCTGGAAACATTTGCGGATTGCCCCAAGTGCCTGGCTCAATTCAATCACTTTTTTCGGGGGAAGCCACACAGTGGGATGAGATATGTCCTTGGCAACCGCGGTATGGTGCCCATTGTACCCCCACAATTAAAATTGCCAAAAGGCAATAAAGTTTCGTCGCCCTCTACAAATTTAATAAAAGCCACAATTCTACGAGATTGAATTTGCAAAATACAATAATTGTAGTAGATAGTATAATTTAAATATACATACGTGAGTATCATTAAAAATAAATATAGCCTATCTATTCTAAGTAAATATTAATCTGGATAGATATGATAAATAAATAATCATGACTATTATATATTTAAAAAACTAAATATTTTAGGAACACATATGTATGTATAAACATATCATCCAAAAAAGTTGCCGTATAATAATCATAACTACTAAGCCAGTTAGTAAGACGCTTATATATATATATCATATATATTTTGTTCCCCATATTTAAATAAATGATTAAAGTGCCATTGAAAATCTTTGACTTAATAAAAGAGTTAGCTTCTTTTAGTTTGGTTTCATCAAAAGTAATTTATTATTTAAATAACATAAATAACTTTTGATTATTAGAGCTTTTCTTTGTTGTTTTTCCATTTTCCCGTAATCATTTGTTCTTTCTCTTCGGTGACAAGTTCAGTAGTAAAGTCCAAATTACTTGGCATATATGTTTTTTTTGGGGCACTCTTCAGGGTTTTTCTTTGCGGCGGTGGTTGCTTATAGTCTTCTAGTTGTGGTTCAAGAGTGGGGCAGGCAATCTTCTGGGGCATCCAGTCGCAACCGTTTTGTGGCGCAATTGTCTCAACCGTCGACGCGTCGCTTGCGTATCGCATATCGCACCTGATGGGCTGGTCCAAAACAGCCGGCTAAAGCCGCTCCACCCTTTCGGCCCCTCGTTTTCCTCCCACCCCGCATACTCGTACGTATTCCCCATCTTTTTCTTGGCCGGATCGCTCTGCTCTGCTCTGAGCCGAAAGCCAAAGCCAAAGACCCAGGCCCAAGTGGCAGCAGCCAACCATTCGTATAATTGTCGATGCGTTAAGGTAATTGTACACCCAGCCAACTGGCTGCCAACTGAGGCAGCAGTTTAGGTTTAGACCTGGCCAAAAGCAGAGCGGAGCAAGGCCGACCCAACAGCAGCACTGCGAGAAAATTGGCAAGCATTTATGCCATTATTAATTATTTCAATCACTTTAAGCTATACACAATTAATAAAGGACATTTTTCGAAACGCTGACGGACTTAAAAGTTACTATAAATTATTAAATCTTTAATAATCGCTAGAGATCAGTTTGTTTTTAATATCCTACATCTTAATTTTTTTCTATTTCAAATAAAACTGGGATACAATTGTAAAAACTAAATCCTTTAGTTGTTTGATTTTTCGTCCAGTGCATATGTGTATCTGTATCTTGGAGCATACCGTTTCCGAGGGGAGGGGGGTATGGTGGAAGGAGGAAGGAGGGAGAAGGGGGTGTCACTGGGATGGATAGCTATGCCTTCTGTTCAATGCCGTCGCCGCAGTAGTTGCCATCGTCGATTCACTCAGTCGTTTCTAAGTTTGCGTTTGTCGTCGTTTGCCATATTGATGGCACGCTCCGCCGCCTGTCTTTTCCACCGCCCATCCTCCTTTTCCGCTTGCCGCCCACCGCCAACCGCCCACCACCCACCACCTCCCACTTTTGCCGCCCCTGGAGAGCATTTAAAATTTTAGTTTTCTGCTGACAACTAGCATTTTGCCATAGACAGACACATCGGTCTTAGTTTGGTTTTCGGTGTTTGGTTTTCGGTCTGATTTGCTAGATTTGATTTCAGGAAATCTCAGCCGTCTCTGTCCCTCTCTCTCTGTCTATCTCTATCTCACTTTATCCACCTGCCTGAATGCACTCGGTTTTGGATTCCGATTTGGATACCGATTCCCATTTGGATACGCATTTGTCAGGCCCTTTTGTTTGGCTCATTGTCTCCGGTCGCCTTTTGTTGCAATTGAAAAATTATAGCAATTAAATGCCAGTGAAGACCAAATGCATTGACCAAGGTCCAGTTGGTTTGGCAATGCGAAATGGGATTAGATTCGCTGCGGTTTTCCCTCCAAAGTGGTGTACCATCAATGAAAGCGGCCATTCGATAGCATATGTTCTGCTCATTGCACTTTTCGGTTGAGTTCCTTGTGGTTCAACTCGCCAAATAAATTATCATGTACTTACTATACACGATATATAGAATATAGAGTTGTGTTTTGGGTAATCATTTTATTTGATGATTTTCTATCACTAACATTTTTTCCATTTTAAATGCTAAACATTTTAAAGACATAAATTAACATGTACAGAAAATAAACAAGTAAAATAAAGTAATCGGTGGAATAATTGGAGAGATTAAAAAGTTTATTTTGGATCTCCGTAATTATTTCTACCATAAAGGTATATAGAATATTAAACCCAATTAAAATTCTTCGTATCTCTAATAATTTGCAATCCCCGGCGCTTTTCGATCGTCGATCAGACTTTTATTGGCGCTTATTTTGGAATTCATTTCCGAGGACTGTTCCCGAATTCCCCCACATGTATATGGGTCCTGGAGTCAACTGCATCGGCACACATATAATATATCACAGTATATCCGAGGGTTCGTTCGCTGGCAGTTTCGTATAATTTTTATATGCAGTCATCAACAGCTCATATATGTTTTTATTGCCAGCGCGAACAGCGATATGCATCTGAGGCATCAGAAACAAGAAAAAGATCGGGCGGCAGATGAAGATGCGGCTGAATCCGAATCCGAATACGAATACGAATCCCAATCCGAATCCAAAGATCATTATGATGATGATTATGGTTGGGATGCGATGATGACTATTTCTGCGTACAGATTTCCAATAAAAATTCTGTCGACTTGAGTTCGAGTTCGGTTTTCGGCCGAGACTCCGTATTTCATTTGGTGTGTGAGCGAGATTTACACGCTGATATACAAGGGAAATACACAAAAGTAACAATAAAGGCTGGCTGCGGAGATATACGTTAGTCACTCCGATTCCGATTCGTTGTCTCTTTCTGGCCCTCTGGGCGTTGAGATTTATTTCTTTATTTTGGCAGCCAGTGGCCAGTTGTCTCACTGTTTTATTACCAGGAAATTTGTATTTAATACGTTTTTTCCGCGTTTTTGTAGCGGGTTTCGGGTGCGCGACATTGTCGCCTCCAAGCTTAACCCACTAACCGAAAGGTTCTCCAGCTAACTGTCGGTTATCTCTACCCTCGATCGACACGAAGGGCTAGCCTATGATCTAGTTGGCCCAAACAGTCAGTTGGTCGGTCGGTAGCCAATTTTCAATGGAAGCCACACACAATCAATCGGTTCGCAGAAGTCTTTAGGCCCTCGAGAGCTCCTAACTCATAAGGGCCTATAGCTTCTTTTCGATCTTATCGACCCGTTACCCGTTGCCACCCTAATCGATTTCGGGGTATTGTAAGACAATTTTTGTTCTTTTTAGAAAATGTCTTATAGAACTTGGCAGCCAAACAAAGTCCAACGATTGCAATGTGTCAATATTTGTGAGTTAGAGGTTTTAAAACGACAATTAGAAAAACTAAGCAGTTGTGAAAAGTAACTCAGTTGGCCGAGGTGACATTTTTGATTAATACGTTATACTTTCAACATTAACAGTACATATGTCAATAGGTCCTCATATAATCAGGATTTGATACCCGTAGAAATCAAATAAAAACACGGAAAGATGGGTCGCGCTCCGGTGAGAAGGAAGTCGCGTCCTAAAGTTAATCAAGGGAATGAGGAGGATTACTATTTGAGGCAGGAGGACGTCCAACGATCGTCTCGACGATGGTCATACATCCGGCGAAGGATTCCGGATTCCGACAGCGACACCGATACAGACTCTGATTCCGATTCCGAACCGGAGAAGAGCTCTGTTAAAGCACCAACCCTCTTGAAGGACCTCAGTGCCTATGGAGACTGGCACTTGCCGAATGGGAAATTCGATTTCGAGACGACTGGCAGGGAAATGCTGATGAATCTCAGCAAATTCCCCTACCCGGAAATGTTCCATCCGCCGCTCCTTCTGGGCGCCAAGTTGCGTAACCCCGTGCAGCTGAGTTGCAGGCCCTACGTCACCAACATCTTCGAGGACGCCATGCCGGAGATTCGGGCCCGGGCCAAGCAGTTCCTGGATCCACCACCGGAGTGCGAGGGAGCCGTGGGCTACGATCCGCAGTACTTCCAGACCCCCATGCGGATCAAGCCCCTGTGCCACCGTCCCCCCTTCGTCCCGTTCAAAGGAGCTGGGGCGGCGAGTCCTGGATGGATGGCCGCCGCTGTGCAAAGTTGTATGTGGAACTCACTCAGCCGCTGGTGGACTACGGGAAACTGCGTCGGCACAGGAAACACAAACCGAGACCCAATAAGCTTCTGAAGGGATTGCGAAGGAAACCAGTCACTCAGGCCAGACCAAGGTTGTTGCGACCTCGAGCCAGGATCGTATTGAATTCGGAGTCGGAGGAGTTCTACCAACAATCGGGGGAATTCGAGGAGGAGCAGCTCATTTCGGGGGACTATTACGTGGGGTTGGCGAATGAGGACTTTGATTTGGACACTGAGGTCTCCTGGCACTCCTCACTGCCCGAGGACCCCGAACCGAAGATAGCCCGAACCCAGTCGGATCTGACACTGGACTATTTGAAAACCCGTCCTATGATAAGGCGTTGCCACAGCTTGGGCAGTATTCATTATTAATTATTATAACATCATTTGTGTTTTAGAAAATGTGCTCGCAAAAAAACGTTTTAAATTGTTTTTGGTGTTCCAATATTAAACATGCCTAACATACTAAACATGCCATCCTAAACAAATATTTGAGTTGTGAATTAGTTACTGCAAATATGTGGCAATTTATTCCCCATTAGTAATGAGTATTTTTCAAAGCGTCTTTCAAGAACACCCGTTCGAAAGCCCTCCTCTCGAGACCCCCTATTCCGATTTCACGCAATTAAAAAGACCAGCAGTTAAACGGGGAAAAAGAGCGGCAATTGTAACAGGCGGCAAGCTCATCGATCAGTTGAAATTAATAAAATACTCAATAAATGCGCTCACAAAAACGTGTGCAAACAATCGATCAATCAGCGATTTGACAGGCCCGCAAATTGCGGAGTGAGTTGGCTTCGAAATCGCCGACTTGGTTTTGGATTGGGATTGGGACTTGGGTTGGCGATTGCGATTGGGTCTGGAGGCCAAGTTGGCTGACAGCCAGTCTGCTACCAATCTGCGAGTCGAGACTTCAAAACAATTACACAGCAACATTTCCAAGAGCCGAGTATCTGTGAGACTCTCGAGTATCTTAGGGGACTGAATCTGAATCGGAATGGGAATCGGATTTGGATTTGGATTCAGATTCCGAATCGGACAACTGCCACCGTACAACCGCGACGACTGTTGGCCTGTTGATTCAAGCGATTAATCGATAACAAATAAAAACATTTCGACAACTACTTCCAAAGAACGCGCTCCCAGCAGTCACAAAACAGCAGTGCCAACTCCAGAACAAAACACAAGACCTCGGCTTCTTTTGCCACAGTGAGAAAAAAAACCTGGTGAATATAGTCAGATATTTTAATGAAATTTATTTAAAATATCAAAATGTCTGAAAGTTAAACCATAAACTTTTATTACACGCTTGAATTGTGCATATATCAAAAACAGGACTAAACAAAATATTTTCCTACTAATAAAAAATGTTGGATTGAATTAATAACTTGTGTTTTACTTTTAAAGTGATTTACTTTTAAAGTGATATAATCATTTAAAACGCGATAAAAAACTATATATATTGACATGAGAAAGTATTACATATATTGAACATGTTTTAACTTATTAAATCCCATGACTATTTCCCAAATTCTCTCACATAAAAAACACTAAGTTTACATTTTTAAAATCACTATAAAGGGTTTTAAAAGTGTGCAATAGTATTATTAACGAAAGTCTAATGGATTAATTATCTAATACGGCGTACTTTTTCTTTACTACATTCTTTATATAAAATTATAGAACATTTAGGAGAGCAACTAGTAGTGTTTGGTTTTACTCGCCTTTGTTAAACATGGTAATCCTATTTTTAGGATCTAAATTTAAAGGTCCTAATTTCCTATTTGTCTCAGTGTACTCCGCCCCTTGGGCAACTCCATCGGAGGCTGTCAACAACTCGACATTGTGTGTATGAGTGGCGTGGTACGCATAAATGCCATGGAAATTTTCTTTTTAATCAATTATGAGTATTAAGCCAAGGGGCCAGCCGTCCATATGGGGATCGCTGGATGTGGGATCGCGGCTGGGTGTTTCGGGGGATATTCCGGGGATTCGGGGGTATTCGTGTGTGTATCTTGTATCTTGTATCTCCGATCGCCGATCGTCGGGGTGAGAGAGCTCGAATGCGAGGCGCGCGCGGCGGCCGCAAGATAAAAATCGCAAACATTCTTTATTGAATGCTGTAGATGCCAACGCCAGACATCTCTCTGTGTACACCCGTGTGTGTTTACCATACAAGTGTAATCCCCAAGACCAAGTGGAGTGGCACTTCGAGTACTTCTCCAGCTGAAGTGGTGGCCCACGGTAGGCAAACTGCCAGTCCTCTCCCTTGAATCGGTTCGGGAATAGATCTGCCGAAGGGTGGGATATCAGGATCTTTTATGGAGATTCTGCATAGATCTTCACGTTTACGGATCGTCACAATCCATTCAAATTCAATTGGAATTGGAATGTGGATAAGGAATCTGTTAAGAATTTTGAACCGATGAAATGGAATATGTTTTTTTTTTTGACAATGTCTTAATTATGGTGTACAGAAGAGGCTCTACATAACTATGTCGTGGGGACAGACAAGTACACAGGAGCACAACTGTTGGACGATTTTTACTGGATTTCCCCGCAGTGGTCTCTAAGTTTGGATATCTAAGATGCACTTCCTCCCTGCTGCCAAAAACACTTAATATTTTAGATCAAACCCACATGCCCAGCGAGTCGAAGAGGAGCGCACAACGTCAAACAAATCATAATCGGTGGCTGGTAGACAGTAGCTGCATTCGCTTCAAACGGTCGACAGTTTGTCTGTCAAATTGACATTACACGCAGCGACGCGACTGCGACGCCGGCAGAGGGTAAGTCAAGTGTCGGCAGAGTCACCAACAAGTTGCGTTTACATGGCGCAGGCTGAAGGCTCTGCTCTCGTACACTGAGCGAAAAAATGTCAATGGAAGCGGGTTGGGATTAATAGCTTCCTATAAAAGTGACAAGTCATAAAAAAATTTATGTTCAATAATAAAAAATAATAATAGTTAAAAATGAATTTAAGTATTCATATTTTCTTTGAAAATACTGAGCCATAGAAATCTCTAGAAGTTTAAAACCATTTCAGAAAGGTATCTAAAAGTATGCTTCACAAATAAATGCGCACCTTTGGACATTTGATTGAATCGATTGGGAATTTTAAGCATATTTTAGCATACTTTTGAACGCTTCTAGAAGTGATTTTAAAGCTCTTTGGATTTTCCATTTATTGATAAAAAAAAACATTCCGCTTTTAAGAACTTGTTGCAGATAATCCCAAAACTTTTACCAGTGCACCTGGACACTCTCTACCATGGACTTGGACTTGGTTCGGGACTTGGTATTGGACTCGGATTTGGAATCAGCGGGTCTGAGTTTTATTCCGGGCGTAGGCCGCTTGACTGACTGACGGACTTGGCTGTTGGCTTCTGTTTGCGGCGCTGACTCAGCTGAATCTGGGCCTGAATCCGAGTTCGAGTTCGAGTCCGAGCCTGAACCTGAACCTCAAACCGAAGCTGAAGATGGTGCAGAGAAGGAGGCAGAGGCTGGGGTAAAGGCAAAGCCAAAGGCCTCCATCTGAAGCCGATGATTTTCCGCTTGGCTTGGCTTCGCCTGGCAACCTGTTGGCAACTCATTAAATAATGCCGATGACTGGACAAATTCGTACTGTTTTTTTTTTTATGGTGATTAAACAAGCCAAGCATAATCCTTGCTGTGCAGTGGAATTGCATTTGACTGGGGGACCGGAACGTTGGCGTTATAATTCTACCAGCCCACCTCCATTCGGGTCCTCTCCTTTATTTCTCCTTATTTCCCCGATTCCCCGATGCCCTGATCTCCTCCAGCTGACAGTTTCTCTCCTCCTGGCGAGGTTGCTTCTGTTCCTGTGTGTTTGTGTGCCAAAGTGACACTTGTACAGATTTTCTTAATGCGCCAAAGTGCCACTTGTCGTCTGTTGACGCTCCTCGTCCTCCGTTTTCCCATCTTCCACTTCCATCCACCGAGAATATACCAGAATCCCCAGAAATCCGAGAATGCCAGATCGAAGCCGTTTTGTACGTGTCTCGGCAGTGAAATTTTGTTAAATCAGCGCTAAAGCGATGGCAAGTTACTCTGGGACTCAGCGACTCTGTGAATCCTCAAAACTTGTCCGTCGAGCCGAGCACAATTCTAATTGCTGGCCAACGCACAATTTGTCACATGCCAAATTAATAAACGACTTGGCCAAGATGCACCTTCGTTGGCCCAAAACAGTAGCAGCTGATTTTGGCCTCAAGTTGGCAGAATCGGTCCTTTGATTGAGTGGATGAGTTGTTGGTGGTGTGTGGGTTTCAATGGAGGCTCAAAGCGTTGAGAAGTGGAAGTAGTTTTCCTGTGCAAAGCGACTTTAACACTTCAGATGTGTGAGGTCTTACGAGTAAGGCAGTTGAAATTGTATTTTTAGACTGGCTTTACTGGTGTTTATATGAAAATTAGGTGAACGGATCTAGATTTTACTTATAAATGGTTTAAAGTATGCAATTCTTAATAGGTCCACGGGTAATTCAAATTTGAAGCTATAGTACAAACTTGTAAAAATGGAACATTTGTACCTGGAGACTATTTCAAAAAAAAACATTTTTTAATTGATATTTTTCTGAGCACTCCATTGAAAAGTCAACCATTTATATATTTCACCTTTTGAGTCGCCATTATGAGTAATTACAGATGAGAGTAATTACCTTCCTCCAATCACCGAACATTTAATAAATCTCAAAGGGGCGTTCTTAAGCTCCAGCAAACCAGCGACTTACTCTTAATTGCAGCTAGTTGTTGTGATTATAATAGTGGTTACCTAAAACTGATCTGGGTATGCTCAACTAGTTAATATGTTAAGACCGAAATTCCATTCGGTTTTTTGTTTCTTATTTATTATTTATGATTATCAAAATACTGCACTATTGGGAGTACTCAATATTAATGCGAATCGGTTATGTGATTATCAAAAATTTGATTTCAATATTGGTTTCTTTTGTACTGCTTGTTTGAAATATATATTTAATTGTTTAAAAAATCTTTGGAAATTTTATGTTCGCTATATCTTAAAGCATTTGGCGGTATTTAAAAATAAATAACCTACTTCGTAACCTAAGAAAATTTCGAGTATATAAAAGAGTACAAAAAGTCATTCAAAAATTAATTATGGTATCTCTTAGTCGAGCTTATCAAAATCCCAAGGATAGCCACTTGTTGCTGCTGGCTGGCTGATTTTGTTGTAATACTGGGCAGAGCCCCGGGGCAGTCTTTATTTTCTTGGTTTTCGCCTCTTGTTTTTCCCTTTCTCTGGTTGAGGCTGCCACTTAATTTATTTGTCACCGAACCGAAGCGCAAATGAAGTTCGAAAAAACCCGACATGCAAAGGCATCCGAGAAAAGTCAACAGCGACCACGGAATCGTTTGAAATAATACGAGAGGGGCGGCAAAGGCGAAGGCAGCAGCAAAAAAGCTGAAGAAATAATTACAAATTAAAATGAAACACGGAATGGGACAGACAGACACACATGAGGAAGAGCCAGGCTCTGAGATGGTGATATAGGGGGCATTGGGGGCCGGAGTTTTACCAAGTTTATAAATAGCTGCGTTGACGACGCCGCTGGCCACGCATGCGCAAAGATTTGTCATAATTGATAAACGACAACAGCAACATTCGAGACTCCTCCATTCGAAAAAAAACGGGGGAAAACTGACAAGACAGCCATCGAAGTAGCCACTTTTTAGGGGTGGACCACGGCGATCCCAAGACCCCCGGTCACAGTTCCCGTCACCGTCACAGTGACGGTGACCACGCCTCGACGAGCACACAAATCGAACCACTGCAGTTCTTTAATCGTGAATTTAAGGTCAGACAACGTTATTTGTCCAATTAATGGTCAAAAGTTAAAATAAAATCTGTTCTTAAAATGTTCAATAACATATTTCGATGGCTACAAGAATTTATATTGATTTTATTTTACAGAAAAAAAAGATCGCCTCACAACCAAATTTTATTTTCATTTTGTAACGCATCTAAGAATAATTTTCTGTATTACAGTATTTACAATATAATTATTTACATAACATATTAGCATTTAATAGAAAATTAACATTACACACTTTAGGATTGACAATAAAATATATGAAGTACAACTTAATTAACCCCTCAATAGACACTTTAGACAACATAAACTTCTCTTCCTTTTATTTTGAGCTAATTATCAATGAATAATCCCTTTTTAAATAAAAGCGGTAGAAATCTGGGATATATATTACTTATGGAAAGGTCTCAAATAAAACATGAAATTATTGTTTACAATGCATATGCAATAACATCTGTAACGATTTAATTGAATTAAGAGCCATATTATCACCAAATTACTCAACTAAATGAATAAATTACCGAGTAAATCCCAATCGATCTTCACACATATGATCATTCAGATATCCAGATACTTTCAGCAGCTGCCAGACATAAAATAAAATCCGAAATGCAGACACAGGTGACGATGACAATGACAATGACAACTTCAGCAGCCGATTCAGCTGGAATCGCGGCTTTAACTGCAACTTCAGCTACAGCTTCAACTTTGAGTTGAACGATGACGCCAAATTGGCAACGCGTTTCTGTTCTTTTTTCCCCGTTTTTTTTTGTGGCCCGAACGTGAGAACCAATTGCTATGTATGGTCATTACAAGCCGACCAGTCCAGTCCTCCAGTTGAAGGTCCGTTGGCCAGAGCGAGAGATATAACCCATAAATATTTTAATGATGATTACATTTTAAAAACAACGAGCGCTGCCAGTGCACTGGCACGAAATCGAATGAGAGAAATCACAGGTCCGATCTGGGTGCTGGGTATTGCGATCGGGATCGGGATCGGGATCGGAATCGGGGATCCAGGATCCCAAAGAGTACTGATGATGAGCTACTACGCCAGCACTGGGCGACACTGACGACATTTTTCGAATTACATTGACAGGCTGGGATGGGACTAAAAGCGATAATTATTGCCAACTTGCGGCGCTGTAAGTGTTGGCGATCGTGTTTCGCGGCAGCGTTTGTTGCAGCTGTTTGCTAGCCCGCCCTACCCCCTCCCCTTCCCTGGTATATCCCCTGGTATTCCCTGGTACATCCCCTGGTACACTCCCTGACACACCCCTGTGTCCCCAAAATACTCACTGCCTGATCGACGGCGTCTTGCCAATGTAATTTCAATAATTTTATCTGCCGCCGCTCGCGTCTGCAGTGATTCGATTGGCGAGCGGTGACAGATCAAAGCCGCTGCTTTCTACACATAGAAAAAAGCATATACCAAATGCAGAGTAGGTGACATAAATTACAAAAAAGAAGTTAAGTTTAAAGAGAATGAGACGTTAGCAAATCAAATTGTATTTATCAGTTATTCTGGCTCATTGCAAGGCACTGATGTATCAACTATTTCTCTTACAATAATGAAACTAAAATTAAGGTTATGGAAAGGTTTATGTCAAGTGATTTAGCATTTTCTTTGTCTTGGATATAAAGCATATATTGTAAGTTCGTCCTTAGAGTGACTTCCAATATTCTTTCAATAGTTGGGAAATTATGGAAACATAAAGAGATTCAATTCACACTCTTTAATATAAACACATAATTAAGAGCTTAATTGAAAAAAGAATATCCACTAAAAGTAAATTATTATCAAGGGATTTAAATCACTTGTCAACAAGTAAGCAAAGAAAAAAAGAACGACGTCTTTTGGAATGAATCCATGGCAATTGCGATTTCAAAACGTATTGTAGTGATTTTAAAGCTTGAGTGATTTTGGTGTCACACCTCTTATATATTTGTGTATTTGGAGACACATTTTCAGAGCAAATATATATTCGAAAGGTGTTTAATTTTCGCTCAGTGTCCGCGGCGGCAAAGATCAGTGATCGGCGTTCAGCAGGCAGGCGATGGCGATGGGTGGAGCTGCTCGATTCGACTGCGTTCGGCACTGCCTGCTCCAGATGTTTAGCTGCACTTTGGCGGCTCGATGAGGAGTTCCTGCGATCGCAATCACATCCAGGTTCAGCCGAGGTTGAGGTCCCGAGCTTCAAGTCCCCGTAGCCTTTGCGATGCGCAATCATCAACATCAGAGCGAGCGTCATCAGCCGACCACTGCCAATTACTCGGCAGCATTGTTGACATGCCTTTTGCCATTTGCATCGTTTTCGTATTGATTTGTTTAACTCTTCTGCTCTTCTGCACACAATTTTCGGCTTCCAAACCGAACAGATTCGATCGAGATCCTCTGCATTTTTATCCCACGGCCCAAAGAGCGTGTGAATGGCCATTGCCATTGCCCAACGCGACCAGTTCAATGTGCCGATCAAAAATATGTCAAAAATCTATCGAAGAGCGACGATCAATACGATCGTGTGTACCTTTTTGTTACCTCCTGCAATCGGTTGCATTCTTGTGCGTTCTGTAGGTCAGTTATCGACCTACTTTACGTGATATTCCCATATATTCTTTGGCTTTTAGTTGTGGATAAGAAAATGGGTTTTGCTCAGACTCTATCAATTTGTGTGATTTTAATAATGTATTTTAATAATAACTACTATTTTCTAAGTTAATATTTAGCAGAATTTAAACAACCATTTTCTCCATCCCATAATAATTACTAAAGTAATTTTTTGTGCAATTTATCCATATATTTGAATTTGTTCAAAATTACCTTACTTTATTTAGAGACTGATGATTTGAAGAGAAATTATACCAACCAGCTTTAAGCCAATAATAATGATAATATTTTATTTTACATATTTTTGTTCGCTTAAAAGCCCAAAAAGCGAAACCCGCTCTATTTAAATGTTAATTTGCTTTCTAAAAAATTAAAGAATATTTACTAGGGATCCGCGAATTTGAGTTTCACGACTACAACTTATCTCCCAAGAAAAAAAAAACACAAAGCAAACTCTCCCCAATCGGTTAGATCCACTTTCGGGCAATTAAAATTCGATTGAAATCGCCACGAGGTGAACATGTTAATGGAAGATCGCCACGCCTGTAACCACAGCCGCATTTTTCCCACACCAATTGGCAATCGAAGGGGAATTTAAAGGAAGGGGGTTTCTGTTCCAAACCCCGATATATCGGGTTCCCCCTACACAACAAAAAAGCGCAGTCGCATTTCATTTGGGATTCCGTAAGCGTTTCGGTTCAAACATAAAATAAATAAAAATCAGTACAATTCGAAGAGCTGTTGTCGCCTTTGAGCTTTTGCGACAATCACTCACGTTGCCATTTGGCGGTTCCGTCTCGAATCCCCTTAGTTCCCCCTTAACCCCTCTTAGCCATCCAAAACTACACCTTAACCCCCTTGTGCCAACTCTTTCCTCGAGCGTTCAATCATCGGCGATCGTCTTTGAGGCCCGATTCGTTCGTTAAAAGTTCTGCGTATTGAAATGAAATTTGTGTCGCTCGACACGATGACTTATTCAATTATTCGATACGATACCACGTGATTGAATTATTGAAATAAGTTAGAGTTCGAATCGGGTGTCAGTTGACCATGTGAAAGAGCAATTTGTAAACCATTTGGCTGGCAAATTTAACTCGAAAATGAACTAGTAACTAAAATCTTAAATGTTATAAAATAAAGAAACAAGTGCGGCTTAAAAAAATGATGCCATTTTAATATAAATATAATTATATTATATAAAGTTTATAAGTTTGCAATACGATAATTGACACGATAATTTGGAAGACAATGGTATTTAGTTTTATTTTAGATCCAAATTGGTTCGGAGTACTGAGATATTAGCTTGGAATTGTTGGGACAATTTGAATCTTTCTGCCTTTTCCTGCTGATATCCTGCATCGTTTTCTTTCTGATTTTCCTGGTTCCAAAGGGTATAGATCCATCTCCCGACTGTTTTTCTCCAAATCTCATGGTTTTTAGGTAGTCCTCTAGACTAAGGGTCCTGACACCCTGAACCGAGCCCAGTTTGGTGTCATTTATATTAAGACTGGCCAGAAATTCTGCGATTGTGGCATAATGAACGCCATCGCGACGGCATCGACTGTATTCCAACTCCTGGTCACTACTGCTCCTCCGGATCTGATCTCCGTCCATTATGGGATTTATATGTATATAACAATTTTGAACTGATTTTTTCCAGCCTTGTGCTTTTTTCAGCTACTTGACTGTCTGAGATAAAAATTATAAAACTTAGCCAACTTTGCAAATGGATTACTTTTTAAAACATCGATTTCAAGCCGTTTTAAGGGAGGGGTATAGTTAATTCGGTGCTATATTATTGGCTATACGGATAGTCTCAGCTCAATTTTGTTTTTTGCATGTGATTGGGCAACATTTAAACAATATGTGTGATTTTTTTCTTCCAAAAATATTAAAAATTGACTGAGATACAGGCAATCTCCGACGGCGCCTCGAAGAAAAGATGTTTTGCGGTGTACACGATAACCGGTCACATAATCATCCGAAATGAAAAAATCCAATTGCATTAGTTAAAGAACAAGATTCCTCAGGTAACGCTGTCGAGTTTTTATTTATTTATTTATTTTTTTCGATTTTTTAAGGCACTTGAAAGTCAAAAACACCGATTTTCGCCTAAAACGTCGAGATATTTGTTGCTCTAAAAATAATAAATTAAAAAAAAAAAAAACTCGACAGCGTTACCTGAGGAATTTAATTGAGAACAACTGTGCAAAATTTCAAAACGATCCGTCCGATAGATTTTGCCGGACCGTGTACACCGACTTTGAAAAGGGTAACTTTTCAGGAGAGCATTTTAAAGTTTTGGAAACCCTTACAAAACAAGCTAACTTACCTACGTTCAACTGCCAATAAGTTCGGAAACTTTACTCGGATCGATCTAAAACTTTAACACAATATTTTCAAGATGTTGTGAATTCAGAAAAAAAAATGCAAAAAAAAATTTAAATACTATACCCCCCCCCCCTTAAGTCGATCTGCGTTCAAACCTTATTGTTTAATTACTTAATACACAATATAGTTCAAAGTTGAAATAATATTATTCAAGAAAAGTCATCTTTATTTTTAATAAAAAAATGATGAAATGTGATTTTATGACAAATGATTGATAAGTTATGGATATAGTTGACTTAATGCTATTTTCTTTGACTGCAGTGCACCTGCCTGGATTTGTTTGATTAATATTAATATAACATGAGTTTGAACAAGTAATAAACATGTGGCTTTTCCTTTTTGTAGAATAAATTCCAAGGGGAAGGGAATGAAGCCGCACTCGCTTGACAGCTCATTTTGCATAATTGTGCGGCGCGACGGGCAACGCATACAAATCGATTATTGAACCGAATTCCTGATATATTTTTTATGGTTTGATTTATGATTGCCATACAGTTGTCAGTCAGTCAGGCGAAGAAGGGTAAGTTGAGTGGTTCTTTAACGATTGAGCATCAAAAATGCTAATTGAGCTGTTTATCGATTTGTCAACAACAATAACCCGCAAACAAAGTCGAACAATGGCCACATCAGCGGCGAAAATGTCATTTCATTGTTGTTCAACTTGATGGGGCATTCGGGCCCCCTTCCTGAAAGCCCCCCCCCCATCCTCCTCCCCCCTTACTCACTCTCCATTGAGTTTTATTGACTATTAAAATTGTGTCAAAATGTGTTTGAAATTTTTTATTGTTAATTATACGCGGCGGGCGTAATGTGGAACCAATAAACAATATCGGCATCGCAATTGGAATTCGGTATTAATCGTTTGTTGTTTTGTTTCTTTCATTATTTCTTCGACTCTTTTTTTTTTTGGGAATACTGGGAATTAATTTGCCGAACTAATTAAAGTATAAGGCAGGCCAAGCGTGAAACCGAAACTGAAATCAAATCAAAATCGAATTCGAAAAACGCTCAAATGAATAGACAGGCGGATCGGACAAGCCGACAAGTTGAAGTCCCAGATCCAGATGCAGGGCCTTACACGGAGAAAAAAGTTGGAATGGTTTAAAACAATTTTCAGTAGACTTTAATAATAATATTTCTTCGTTTTTCTTGCGTTATACGTTTGAATAAAGCTTACAAAGCCCTATATAAAATTAAATATTGAAAGTTTTAAATTCCAAATTTAATTTTATAACAATTTTTTTTTGCAGCCTAGTAATAAAATAATTAGAAAGGAACATTTATAACTAAATTACTTGAGTTTTATTTACCAATATTTTACTGAGCATATGTTCAAGAATTTAAAACATAAGTTTCCTAAACTATTTATCTAATTAATATATTATACTTCCCAGGTATTCTATTCAATTAATCAATTAGAAATCATTGAACAATCACGTTTTCCAGCAGTGCAGAACCAAAGTCGAAAGGGAGTTTCGGTCGGAGATTGAGTAATGAGCCCTGGAGTTAGAGCCACGGCAAAACCGATTTCACTGACCGCCCTGACTGAATGGCAGAGTGAAGGACTGACGGAATGACTGACTGAGCGAATGACTAACTGACTGACTGACTGACAGAATCCCAAAGGAAATCGCGGGGGGCTGGCCAGGCGGATCCTGACTGACATTTGATTATTGGCTTCCAATTTGTTGCAGATTTTGTTTTTATTTTTCATTCAAGCGCAAATTGCGTGCCTGGCAATTTGCGAAAATGCAAAAACAAAAAAAGAAGTTATATCCAGATATATAGTGGCAGAAGAGCGAAAGAGAAGGCTAAAATGAGGGCCGAGCGATCAGCGAACAGAAGTCAAATTGTGGCCAACATGGAAATTAATGGAGCAATGGAGCAACGGCGATCGAGAAAAAAAGAATACGAAAATCGGAGAATGGAGATCACGGCTGCTGTTGCCGCTGCTACTTTTGCTGCAAAAATCGGCGGCAGGAAAGGAGTTATTAAGACAGAAAGGGATGGCCATAGGTTGCCCAGGTCTACCTTTATATCTTTTCATTTCTTCCGTACTTTTCGCTCGCTCTGTTTTCTGTTTTTTTTTTCTGTTTAATGAAGGCAGTTCGATCGATTTGGCTGGCTGCGAATCGTGGCAGCCCCACCCCCTCCGCCTGGACCCAATTTCCAGTTCCAGTTGCAGATCCGATTTTTAGAGGCGGCACTTCTACACGGCAATCGTGAGGTCTTCACGGAATTAACAAAAAAGGTCTACGCAAAACTAAGATCATTTTAAACTTTATGCTAAAAAGTTTAGTATTTATTCTTAATTTACTTATATCATTTTGATTCCTTTACCTTTATTATTATACACTATTTAGGTTACTGGATAAATATTTTCTTAATTTTAAGCAGCCCGACCAAAACTTACAAAGATTGCAATCCTTTAAAAAATATAAAAAAAATAATGCTATATATATTAATAATATAATATTTTAAAATTATGTAATTAATAATTCATTTTGTAATTTGTCTGATTAATATTATTATATCACAGAAACAGTAGTAAAGTTTGGTTTCCTTGTAGTTTTGGTTGGGTGTTCGAAAAATGCTTGTACTAAACTACTATTTCGCTTTACAATACATCTAACTAAACAATTTTCAGTCCATATTTTAAATGGAGCACTGGTTTAGTTTTGTTTCCAATGGCCTTTTTGGATCGTGTCACGTTGCAGTCTCCAATATCAGGCAATTCGGCGACCAGTCCTCGGCACAATTTCAGTTTGCTGCCACAGATTCAGCCGGTAGTTGGTAGTTGTTGCTGCCGTGGCTGCTGTTGGCCAGGCCAAAAGAGCCCAGGGTCCAACCAAACCGAACCGAACTATGGCAAACCGAACTGAACCAGCGTTTTCGATCTGTCTGTCAGTCAGCTGCCATTTTTGCTTGGCTCGAGACTTGAGACTCGAGCTTCGAGATCCGAGATCCGCGACTCGGCAGCCGAAGAAGCTGGAAACTGAAACTGAAGCTGAAACTGAGTGAATTAAACTGGGGGGGACCTGGATCTGGATCTGGGCAAGAAATCAGCCAACCAAGTCGGCGAACCAATTGATTGACATTGCCCACAACGCCCTTTTGCCAACTTGGGGCGGTCTTTCCATCCAAATGGTGGCCAACTTTTGCGGCCAACTGTACCGGAAATGTGTGAAAATGCGAAGAGCCATGAATGAATCGCTTAGTGGTCAGCCAGCCAGACTTCTGTTGAATTATTATGCCCCCGACCAACTACTAATTATACAACAATAATTAATTAAGGCAAGAAGCCGAGCTTTTGGCCAGCAAAACAAAAGACAAAAAACTAAAAAACCAGTTGGCCCAAAGCCGAAGTTCATTCAAGAAAAGCTGACAATGACAAAAACAGTTACCAGCCGTCGTTGAGCGGTCAAAGCCGTGTAATTATGAAATTCAAAGAAATGAAGCATTAAACCGAACCATCTCGAAACAAACGAGAAATATGATATATGGAAAAAAAGTGTTTATAACTAAATTAGCATGAAGCCACCGCCCATTGATAACTCCACTCGTGGCTCAGTTTATCTTCTTCTTTTTTTATTTTGGCTCTTTGTGGTTGACAAATTAATATACAAAACTAAACCCTTTTTGAAGTCGACCGACCAGCTGGTTAGTAGCGCCATAAAAACCAGGTCCATACTTTGATTACCACAGGCAAAAACTCCGCTTTTCTCACCATTCTCTTTACGATTATTTTTACAACTATTATTATTATTATTTAAGCCGCCTCTTTTACAATTTCCAACGAAAATTGTGTACTCGGGAATGAATTTATAGTCATTAAAGTGTGAGTTATGTCTTTATAAATCCATGTTAGTTGAGCTCAATGGAAAGTCGCGACACAATTCGGGGGGAGATAGAAATTCAGGGAAATACAAGAGGTTCTCCAAATCCGAGTGTAGGGAATTTACTAAGAATGTTTAAATATATCGTAAATCTAGCTTTTCAAATATGGCAGGTAAGGGAATCTATTTCCTGAATTTGGAGAATTTAGTGGACTTAACATACGAGAAATCTAATCTTTAAGTTTTTGAATATTTCCGGATAAAATCTTTGTATACTTTGACTTTTTTCTTATACAATTCTTAAGATATCATCTTTAAACCTTATTTATGTATTATTATTATCGCAGCCCATTAACTCTAATATCCACTGTTTAACTCTTATTTATGCATTTCGATCCACATTTTCTTCTTTAAAAAATTCCACTGACTTCCCCTAATTA